AGCAAGATATTCTAGGACTAGGTAGTTACCAGGATCTAACACAACCCCCCCCCCCCAAAAAAAAACATAACATCCCTATACACTATTTATTGTTTACATTGTTACATTATTTCATTGGCATATTGAAAAAAAGAAATTTATTTATGTAAATATAAATTAATCCTAGCAATGTTATTCTCTACATTTCCAAGCTATAAAATTGAATCAAAAGTGTTTTTATGAACTCTTGATATAATGAATATAGGCAATCTGTGTACTGTGTATATCTTTAGTTTTATGATATTCTTATGACTGCTGAGAATCACGATAAAACATCAAAAGCAAATAAATTAAATTATAAATTAATTCAAATCCCTTATGAATTCCTGCAACACTAACAAAAGAGGCATTTAAGTGATGAAGTTGGAAACGTCATGGGACTAGGACTTAAATGAGAGGGTAGAAGAATAGAATAGAATAGAATAGAATAGAATAGAATAGAATAGAATAATAACTTTATTGTTGCTTTGAATGTACACTAATCGACACACATTAAAATGAAATGTCATTGCATACAGCTTTCAAAGGGTCCCCACCTCCGATATACACTGCATAAATATGACAAAAATAAATAAATACAGAATTATGCATATACCCACATATATGACACAGAGAAACAACAGTTTAATTCGGGGTATGTATACATGTACACAGAGAGAAAAGTGAATATTGCGAGTTTACCAGGCAGATGGCATAGGGAACAAAGCTATTACAGAATCAGGTAGTCCGGCTAGAAATACTTCAAAACCTCCTCCCAGAGGGGAGTAACAGAAACGGACCGTAAAGTGTGTGTGGGGGGTCTCTAACAATGCTTTGAGCTCTAAACATAAGTGCTTATAAGCAGCATCCTGAATACCAGGAAGCAAGAAGGGTAAATGCTACACACCAAAATATAAATAATGTTGACACTTCAAAGAAAGCCTTCTTTCATATTCCCCCATAATGCAACTTGTCCAATTCATTGATTTGGGGAGGCTCTTTCCTGAAGATGTTAATGGTTGGGTAGGTACCATACATACTGGTGAGGCATTTCCTCATGTATTAAAATGATTCACCATTAACAGCCTTAAAGATTATTACAAAAACTTTGAAGTCTAATCAATGACGCAGTGCAATTGTGCTAGGACTTGCTATATGGTCTTGAAGAATGTTCTCGATAAGTCTTGCTGGATACATTATTAGTTGCAGTTTCCAAATTATCTTTAATGGCAAGCTGACATGGAATGTGTTCCCACTGTCCAAATGAGAGATTACTACAGCCAGCAGCTACCTATCTAGGAAGAAGTGCAACTGCAACTCTAGATAAAAATTGATTGAACATACTTTGGGCCACAATGCCATGTAGATCTTAAGAGTCAGCAGTCCCCCAAATTGTGTCCTTGTTGTTTCAGAGTTGGAGGCCTACTCATCTGCCATAAGACACTATTCTTGTGCTTTTGTCTTGTTGGAATTCAGTTTCAATTTATTGCTGCATCTAGAAGTCAGTTCAATGCCTGCCCTGATAGGAATAAAGTTGGGGACAGGTTTGTGACAAAATATTTATCCCTTTTGGATCTTCTGAATTTTTGCACATTTCCCTTACTTAGTGTCCTAATTATTTGTTAGTTTGATTTATATAGCTGTCCAACTCTCAAAGAGGTCTCTGGTTGGCTTACAATTGGTTTACAAAGAATGGGATTAAAAATAAAAAGTACACCCCCAGCAAAGAAAAACAGATAACCAAGGCCAACCAGATGGGTTCATTTTGCATTTTAGGCCAGTGCCTGGGGTATATATAGTATAATGAAGGTAAAGTGAATAGATCAAACTGAATTTGATGTTTGTTTAATTTAGTTCATTAATAAAGGCACTCAACATTTGTTATGCCTGTGGGAAAAAGCAATTGCCTGTGAAAAGATTGGATTCTTCCTGTTTTTTCTCTCTGAGCAATGTAGGTACTAAAGACAGGCCTGAATATTTTTGGATGCTTTTTTTCCTCGTGATTGCAAATTCTGAAAGCAATTAGAGAGCACAAACTAAAATTTCAACCTAAAAAATTTACAGAAAAAAGATTATGAGGTTCTGTTGATTTCTCAGGCTATGGTTTCAAAATTTATTGCAAGGGGAAGATATGAATTATCAATTATATATAGATTGAGAATATTTAGATAATACTTAAGAGTGCTAATTTAAAACAATAAATTCATTATTGAGTGGGTCAAAAATACAATCCAAACCTACTGCATATTTCAGTACATAGGGAGAATGACTCTTTGTTGTCCCCTTCAATGTTATTGTATTAGTCTCTGCTATCTGATATGTAAGTCAGCAAAATCTTCTCAAACCTAATGATTCTGGTTTGTGATACAAAAAAAAGTCCCATTGCTAGTAATACTGCAGGCATAAATGTTCAAAATGTGTATTGGCAGCTGTAACAGTACAGGCCCACTTTAAAAGTCCAGTTTTAAACTGCTAACCAATAAAGAATAAATAACTTCCTAAGATTAATTTAATATGAACTGGTTGATCAAATACAGTACAACATTTCAATGCTGGAAATATTAAACAAAAATTAAATTGATATTGCAAAGTTGTCAGGAAAATTGTGAATAACTTTTAATACAGATAGATGATACTTTTCTTCCTTTTAATGGAATTATTATTCATGACACAAAGTTCAGTATGCTGTGTGGATTTGAGATAACGATTCCACCTATGAGAATGGGACTTGCTTCTGTACAGATGTAAACAGGACTGTGTGGGAAGGCTACAATGGTAACAAAGTGTAAATAACTCAGTTAGTTACCACTTGGCGTCTGGGTGCAATTCAAAGCACTAGTGGTGACTTATGAATTCTTTTGTGGCATGGGGCCATTACCCGTGTTTTCCCCAAGACCTATCCCATAAATAAGCCCTAGCTTGATTTTTTATATTACGCCTAATATAAGCCCTATCCCCAAAATAAGCCCTAGTTAAGATCCCACCCACTCCATCCCACCGTCTGGTTGCACGAAGTGGGGTGAGGAGCATGCGTAAAAATCAAGCCCCACATCTGCATACCTCAGGACCTCCGCAGCCAGGCTTCCCACACCCTGACACCTGCCTTGCCTCACAGTGGCAGCAGCAGCAGCGGCAGCCTCATCCAGCAGGAGTCTGTGTGGCCAGTAGCCCACTTCTTCTAGTTGCTGGCAGCCGCTCATAGCAGGACCTCGCCACTGTGAAATGCACCATGTGGTGTTTTGCCATGAGTGGTGGCACCTGCATGATTTGCCACGTGGTATCCTGTTGCGAGTGGCCACAGAAGTTGGGTTGTGATGCAACAGGTGTCGGGGCGTGGGAGGCCTGGCTACGGCAGTCCTGAGATAAGCGGGTAATACATCCCCTTAAAATAAGATCTAGTGCTTCTTTTGGAGGCAAAAAAAATATAAGACAGGGTCTTATTTTCAGGGAAACACGGGTATTTGTAGACCTGCCTCTCCTTCATTGTTGCTATCCATCTGCACTAGGAGGCACAGTAAGATTCCCATCGATCAAGGAGTATCATCTGTCAGAATCCAGAAGTGGGCCTTTTTTGTTGTGGCACCTGCCCTGTGGAACATAATTCCTCCAGACACTAGATGGCTCCAATTCTGCTGGACTTTTATTAGCAAGGAGGACAAATCGTCACGGTCTACGATGGTTATTTTAACTGCTTTTTTTTGTCTTGGATGCCTGTTATGCATTTGACTTTGCTGTTGAGTTTTTAAAACTGCTGTTAGCCACCCAAAATCATCATAGTGAGATAGGCAGCCATAGAAATTGAATAAAATAAACATGGATAAATGATTGCACTATTATCCTATAATTCTATGGTATTTTCCTGGATATAATATTTAGTAATTTATTTCTCAGGAGCTTTCCTCTCTACTGAAAAGTGCTATCAACCCATCCTTAAATCAAGAAAACATACAGCCTGAAATGTACTGCTCCCATTGGTGAGACCTATTCCAAATTTCTTGCACTGCTGCTAATTCTGAGTTCATTGGCACAAAGGCACCATTATCAGGTTCTTAGAAAGATAGCAGCTGACCAGGGATGCAAGAAGAGGTAAAGTGGCTCTCTAATTCCAGTCATTACTGGGTCATGAAATGGATAACACATACCTTATGACTATCCTTGGATGCTATCAGCTAATGAAAAAAAACATTCATTGGCACAACTAAAGACGATTTAACCCTGTTTCACTAACAAGCAGAGGATGAAGATGAAATAAATAAAGGCATTCAACAGTGTAGAACAGTGGTTCTCAACCTTTTTAATGCCGTGACCCTCAACCAGTCGTAAGTCGAGGACTACTCAACTGGTGCAGCACCGTTTGCAGAATGGGACTTTTGGCAGGCTCAGCAGGGCAGAGAAAGCCTTGACAATTCCTATTGGCTTTTGAATAAAAAGGGAGTAGCACAGCTAAGGAAAACGGGAAAAAAATGGTGGACTGCATTGTTTGGTGACCCCCATGAAATGGTCATTCGACCCCAAATGGAGTCCCGACCCGCAGGTTGAGAACCACTGGTGTAGAAAGAAGTCTTCATCACAGTCCAGGCCAAGCTGGGAATAAACAAAATGGAAACTGCTTTAGAAAGGTTGCATTTAAAAGGTTTTATTGAAGGGCATACAGAACGGTGTTGCTGGGAACGGTGGGTTTTTATACCTTCTGCGGCTCTTGAGGTTGTTTCCTGTTTGAGGCTTTGTATTTCCTGTGTCATGTACTTTGACCTGAGTCTGAGTGTGCCTTTTTGGTATTGGTGGGTTAATCCTATTATGTCCCCAAAGGTCATGTCTTTTAGAGTTTGGGTGGGGTATGTAGATTTTAAAGGTCTTTGTCTTCCTAATCTCATAGCTTTTAGCTTCCTGGCTCCAACCATCCTGTATGGATTATTACATCTGCATTTCTAAAAGGTGATTTCTGCTGAGTTTTCTGGCTGGGGGAGGGAGAAGTTTCTGCCTTTTGAAGATCTCCATTATTCCTTTGGAGAAATATATTCTGCCTTTCCCAAATTATTTCTTTCTCTGGATTCTTCCCACAAAGAAAAGATGCTTCCAACATACCTTGCCCTTTGCTGCCAAAAGGAAAAAAAAAAAAAGGCAACATTGAAAAGATGAAGCTAAATAACTGCCCCCCCTCCAACGCACATGTTCTTGGGAACAAACTTAGTTGAACTCACTGCATTCAGGTTTTTTTTTAAGTAGCTTTGCACAGATTTTAGTCCAAAAGGAATTTCTCTTTTGCTTCTATTAAATTTCTTCACCGCGAAAGAAAAACAACTCCAGAGTAAAGGCATACTGTAGTAAGAATATAAATCGTCCTTGATTTTCTTTTAACGCCACCTTCCCGAATTGTAGAGTTCTCCTTTTTTCCGTCTCTTGGCTGAGGTTGCGCCCAGTCCAGCTGACAATGCGGGAACTTTGCCCTTTATATGCAATGCTAACCTTGACGTTACAATCCATATAAGTCGGCCTCGCATTTCGCTCCAATATCGGCGCCCTGAAACTTGCAGTTGCAATTCCCAAGGTTTTTTCACGCCCGCGCAGTGGGCTGATTTTCCCCATCGAAAGAGCTTTGCAGGATTATCACACGCCGTCCCTGGCTGCTTCTGTGTATTTTACCAGCGGGAGGGACTTAGTCAGCAAATCCTGCTCGGAGGAGCTTTAGCCAATGAGGAACCTCGCCCTGCTTGCTAGGGGGGCTTCGGAGTTGGCGCTGGACGCCTGCAGAAATGCGAGGCGGTTCTTTTGCTGGGGCTGCTAGCAAAATGGGGTCCGGCAACAGAGGTGGTGACTTAGCTCGCTCGGCAATTGGCGGGATTCCGTAGAATGCATCCATCATGTAGCCTCGCCTGCCCAACCCCATGGATCGAGAGGACTGTTTACCCCACACTTTTGCATAAATACATCTTTGCCGCTGGAAGATGAAATGCTTTTCCCGCTACCTGCCTTACCTCTTCCGACCTCCGAACACCATCCTCTCTTCCAGCTGCCACACAGAAGGTACTGAGCGGAGAGGAGAAGGGCAGGATGGGTGGGACGCGAGGTAGGGCGCCGAGCCGAGGGGAGGGGAAAGAGGAAAAAGTGGGAGGAGAGCGGCGTCGCTGCTGGAGATAGCCTTTGGCAGCTGGTGCGTGACCGGGCTTGGCAGAGCTGGGGGGGGGGGTTAAAGGTGTGTGTGGGGTGTCCGCGATCAGATTTCGGGGATCTCGGTTTGGCCTTGTGGGAAATCTGCCCTTACAGGAGAGTCGCCGTTCTTCATCAAGGTGAACGTGGTGCACGATACTACTACCCTTCGAGGAGGCTCTTCTGCAATTGGCTGCTTTTGGGCGATCACGTACAAAGGTTGTTTTTAAGTTTCATGGGCTCTGACTGGTTTAGGGTTTGTCCGGAGAAGAAACGAAGAGAGAGGTTTGCACTCCCGTGGAAGCAATCTCGTTCGGTCCGTGGAAAGCGTATTTTACACAGTGGTTGATTTCGCTCCCCCTCCCTCATCCTTGGGAGTCTGGTGTTTTTTTTTTGTTTTTTTTTAAGATCTCTGCCCTGTAGAGGTGAGATCAGCCACTGCATACAGTACAGTAAGTTCTGAGTAAGATTTTACATGCTAAGGAGTGAAGGTAAGCTTATCGAGGTACAAGGCTTGGCAAACATCCGACTTTTTTGTGCAAGTTTTTCGTTCTGCACTGGTCTGCATGATGTTTACAAGAGCAATATCAGGCCTTTTTTTAAAAAATGAATTATCCTTCATTCACAGTCTAAGAGTTAATGTAAAAGCTTACAGAAAATAACACCGAAACGTTATTCCCTCGTACTATAAAAAATTATCGGGTAGAGGGGCCACTATGATAGGCATAGTACAAAATCCTGGACCTATAATTAGTGAGCAGTAGTAAAGAAAAGTTTCCAAAATGTAAGTTGTGTTAATTTATATGTAAACAAGTCAAGTGAGTGTATTAAACAAGCTTAAATAGGACTGTGATGCTGCAAGTTAACTAATTAAAATGTAAAACTGTAATTGTCTACAGAGCACATTCTAATGCTGAGTTGCCATTAATCTATATATTTTAGATCAAAATTCATTTTAGTTTGGTTCAGTAACTTACAAGATGGGAGAAGAAAATAAGATAGGGTTCTAATTGTCCTCATAAAAGGCCAGAATATTAAAAAAAAATGTGCTTGAAATTGGTTCACTTGGGATATAATGCAAATTTAGTAAATTTGCCATCAGGAAATAGGCTTGGATTATGCTTTCCTGCCTTTGATTTGTACAAATAAAATATTTCTACAATAATATATTCTGTTTTTACATGACTAATCTGCATCCTATAATTTTGGGACTTTTTTAGAAATATTCCAGCATTGAACATTTCTAAAATACTATTACATTTATTTAAAATCCATTTGTTTTTAAGAGACACATTTTTTTTTAATGTGACCTGGTATGTGACAGGATTTCCAAGCATGTCTTAGTTAACTATCTTGGTTTATCTTAACTTGCTATAATTTCTATTTTCTTTCTCCCTTCTTGTCTCAATTTTCTCATTATTTTGATAATGGCCTTTTGACTTCTATGGCTCTTTCAATGTTTTTAAATTTGATACTGATCAGATATACCGGTACTGGATTAGCATATATCCTTAGTCTAACAGAATGTGTAAATTGCAATCCACTTCAACACAGCAGGGTACATAATTAGGCAAAGGTAATGAAAAAGCCATTAATATTGATATTGCTGCAAAGTAATATTGAAATCAATGCAAAGAAATGGCCAGATATTGACACCTGAAGGTAGACCTGAAAATATACTAAAAGAAAACAATATACATCTCCTGGTGGAGATGGGCAACAAATTAATAAATAAAAAATAATACACATGTGTATTAACTGATCTGCTGAAGAAGTGGCAAGGAGGAATCCCTTAAAGTAGAAAGTAATCAACCAGCTATCCCTGTGAACAGTAAATGTTAGTTGATATTTCTTTCCTTTTGATGTTAAAACACAAACAATATAATTCAAAAGATGTGGCCACTTCTAAATTTGATATTGGAAGTAATTGGATATATTATCCCTTGAATTCTTTGTTTATACTGTGAATTTCCCAGAGCTTGTCTGGAGTCAAATGGCACTAAATAAAATTAAAGGAATAGATAATAAAGTCTATCAAAAGAAAAAAAAGTGAAGCCACTTCAATCTAATCTAACCAGCCAACCATAGGAGAGAAGCAAATCAAAAATTGTGTCAATTATTTCTGTAATTGATATGTAGGATTACATACTTTTCTGAATTCTGACAATTGGCCCAATATTTGTTTATTTAAACTATATGGCCTATTCATCTCATTACAGTACTGTGATTCTGAGTGACTACTGTAACTTAAAACTAGTAAACAGCAAAACAAATAAATTAAGAAATTACAACAGTCAATCGCTATATCATATGCCAGAGATCTAAACAGATGTTTCTGTTTTGTAATTAATAAGAAACAATAAACTAACAAATCTCCCTTAACACCGGGTCCAAATGCCTGAGGGAGGGAAAATAGGTCTGCAGTCCCTTATGAAAGATCAGCAGGGCCATTCTGCCCTGTAGGAATGCTGGTCTACAAAGCAGATGCTACAGTGGTGAAAGCATAGTTCCTGAGTCTCAGAAGATGGCATTGCTTAAAGAAAGAGACCAAGAACATGGCCACTCTGTCAATCCTGATGGGGTGAGCCAAACAATCTGAGATAGTAAGTTCCACTAGTAACCTGGCTCTGTGCCATGTAGACACTAACCATCATCTTGAATTGCAATCTAGAAGCTCATTGGAAGTCAATGTGTTTTTTAGAGAAACATTCAGAACTGCTTGCCTCATTACATTCTGAACCAGTTGCAACTTTTGAATGTTCTTCCAAGTGCAGCTCCATGTAGAACAGGAGTGTCAAACTGTTGGCCCAAAGGCCGGTTGCATTATACGGAGGTTATGCCCACTCTAGCAGTGCACATCATGTGATGCAGTGGGTTTGACACCTGTGATGTAGAACATTCTACAGCAGGGGTGGGGAACTTTGGCCCTTTTATGACTCGTGGACTTCAACTCCCATGCAAGTTGAAGTCCACAAGTCATAAAAAGACCAAGGTTCCCCACCCTGTTCTACAGTAATCGGTGTGGAAAATGATTAAGCTTTGTATAATCATGAGTAGGGTCTCCTCATCCAGAAACAGATGTTATTGGCTCAAAATTTGAATTGGGCAAAGGCCCTCAATGGTTGCGGCTTGCTTCTGGATTCCCTCTTGTCAGGATTGAAGTGAAACCCATTCTTCTTTCTCTAGATACCAAATCTCTAGGCATTGGGAAAGAATTTTGACAGCATCACTTGGTTGACCTGGGGCAAAAATGTAGGTTTCTGTGCTATGCTATGTTTACATAAAGTTTGTTGCCACAATTGATTGTCTTTATGCAGCATATGAAACCATAAACATTATATTATGGCATTGTGCAACTACAAACCTTGTTGATATAATCAAGTGGATTTTTATTATTTGTTGTAATATTTTTATGTTATTGTATGATGGCTTAGTTACAGTATTCTATTGTAAGTAGCCTGGCAGGATGTGGCATATAAATCTGGGCATAAATAAATAAAAAATACAAAGTTGTACTCTCAGATTAATAATATTTTTGAAAGCCATCCAAAGATTTTCTGTGAATTTGACATGATTTTGACTGGTGATTGATTTGGCAGGAGTTGTGTCATAATGCAAGTTACATAATTTGCATCATTTGTATAATGATGATGTCACAAAACATGTGAGATAATTGTAGATTGTGCCTGATGTACATGTGGTAGAAAAAAAATGCTGATGTTGGTTTTGTCCATCCTCATGTTTCGCATCATCCATTATTAAGGAAGGGCCCATTTTGCCTGGGTAATTTCAAGCTAGTAATTTTCATCTAGACCAGGGGTTCTCAACCTTGGCAACTTTTAGACTTGTGGAAAGAGCTAGAATAGCACTATGTAGCTATAGATTCTAGAATGTATTGCCAATGTATGTGACCCCATTCAATGACATGGCTGTAAATTCTCTCATATAGTCAAAGTTCTATAAAGTTCCTAATGCCCTTAATAAGTACATGTTGCTTTATCTAGGTTTGTAAGAGTAAGCGAAGAACCAGGAAAGAAAAAGGAAAAACATATTTAAATTCAAAAATAGTACAAAGCTCTAGAGAAAAATCTGCTGTTTATGTAACAAGGAAACATTCCTGGTGCCATTTTATAGCCAACAGATTTGGGATAATAATTCAGTCAAGAAGAAAGATAGAAAGAAACTGGCTTTGTAACTTTAACTGTGGTATTGGCCTAAATCACACAACATAGTTAGTCATAATGTTTGGAGACTTCATGGGAAAAAGATTCAAAAAAGTCAAGATGGTGGATGCAATTGTAATTGAAATTCCATTCCTTCTTAATACGTATTATATGCACATAAAAATGGGTAGGGCTTTTCATGAGCATTTTAATGCTCTTTCATGCATAATGCTATTTGTTTGTGAATAAATTGAAGGTGTGAATTTAACAAGTGCAGTTTATTCAGTAAATAATAGCTAAACAGTTACTTAGTACATGTAAACCTAGTGACAATTTTAAGAGGGTTTTATGAGAAGAAAATAAAGCAAATTATCTCTGCAAGGCTATGCGTATAGTAAACCCATGTTTGTTTATTAGTTTTATATCCCACCTCTTATTCAAGAGCAGAAAGCTTGTTTGGAATAATGAGAATCAACTCAATAGTCAATAAATTGATATCAAGGAAATGATTTACTTTTAATTTTAAATAACATTTTCAGCTAGCAACTTTGGACTTGATTAGCATAAAATGTTGAGCAGCTTAGAGAAGTTTAACATTTTTAAAATATCAAAATTATTCTTTCCCAGAATTTTTCTGACATATTCATGAAGCTGAATTCTATTTGAAACAATATTTATTCACTGAATTTCTGGAATATTCTGGTTTAAAAAGAA